TCATTTTGTAACTGATATCTTCAATCAAACCATTCGATAAACAAGAAAAATGCATTCTCTTTCACGGTGCTTTAGCATGAACCGAGCTCTTGATGCGAAAGAAAGTTTTGATTTCTTTATGACTAGTTGCATGGAAACGTGTTTATGCCGTCACTTCATGACATCACGCCGGATTTAAAGCATTAGGTCTGGGCACTAGAGTTTTCTTGAAGCGTTTTTACACCAGAGATGGACATTAAAATGCTTTTATAACGTTAATGAATAACACGTAAAAATATCAACAGACAACGACATACATATAACTTTTCTCAGCAGAAGTGAAATAATATTATTGCGCGGGTTTCCTAAGTCCAGAGCAAAATGTGCGAGCATTTGGTACATTGTTTAAAGAATGGCTACTCCGTGTTCAGAGAGCAAGCGATTACGAATGCAAAGACTCCGAAAACAAAGTAACTCCTTAGAACTTGAAGGGTGATGGCTTATACGGCTAGCGGTTAAATTTTTGCCATTTTACCGCTAACGGTTGGTTTCTTTGCATTGTTTTAAAGTGAAATTTTTACAGTTAACTTTTTTTAACGACTAACGGCTAAAATTCGTCGATTTCATACGCCTAACAGCTATTTTTTTTGCCGTTTTACTTCGATTAAGTGCCTTCCTTCCAATAATCTCCCCTTGTTTTTTAAGCCGAAATTTGAAAAAGCATCCGGGCACCTATTCGAGGAAACGCGGTAACTAATTTAGTTTGACCAGAAACTCAGAAATGGCCCTTAGCTTAAAACGAAAAGAATGCCAGTATTTATAGAAAAGTAAAAATTTGTAAGCGAAAACGAAGAACGAGTTTCATGCTATGTTAGGGCCTGTCTACATAGAAGTGGGGGACCCCAGATTGGTGATGTAACCCACCTAGCAGATTCTATTTTACTCGAGAGAAAGGCCCCGTGGCCCAATGGATAAGGCATCTGACTACGAATCAGGGGATTCCAGGTTCGAATCCTGGCGGGGTCGCTGTTATTTTAAGTAAATAAACTTTTTAGCCACTGGATTTCTTTTATCATTTTTAATTGTGTCCTAAATTCTAACCACATTGTTTGAAAGAGGTCAAGTGAGACAAGCAAATACTGGTGCATGTATAGATTGGTGCATCAAAGTTTAGTTCCCTAGACATCTGTTATTTATAGCCTTGAAATTATTATTATTATTTTTTGAATTTGTGGCAGATTTCAGTATTGGAGATAACACTTTCTTGGTAATAATCAACAACAATCCATATGAATCCAAAATACTTAAGGTAAGTTTTGAATAATGCCACTATCCTTTAAAACAAGATGCATTTTTTTTAATCTTGCAGTTTATGAACCTTGACTTGGTTTCAGCCCATGAAAATGCTAGGAGAACCACTTTTTTTTATTTTCAGCAAACTTTACTTGATGCTTAGTCTATGATGCTTGTCTTTTTTTTTAAGTGATTCATTGTGTAATGTGTAATTTGCACAACGTAAGTAAATGAAGCAAAGAATTCTTTTTAGTGCTACCCAAAACTGGTTTTTTTTTCAACATTTTTCTCTTTTGAGGGACTTTTCCTCATGAAAAGGTATGTTTCAAAAAGTTATCCGATACCAACCCTACAATCCTCAATAATGAAACTCAGGCTGGAAAATTTTTGACTCAATGAGTAAGAAATCTAACCCTTTCACTCCAAAATATAACCATCAATTCTCTACATTGCCTGGCAAGCAATTCTTTAAGTTTTTGCTGTGAGAATTTAACGTTAATCCAAGAATATCCCTTTGTTTAATTGGTCTCTCTTCTCAACACTTTGTACTTGAAATTGTAATGATATATTTAAGGAATATTCCCTTTTGGTCACACCTGTGAGTGAAAAGGCTAACACGTCAACATTTTCATTCTCGACAGGATTATTTAACCGAACAAAGCATTTGTGAAAAAGACTTGTTTCAGAAGTGTGTTTCAAAGCTGGACTCCAAAGAATATACGACAGTGGGTGGGTAGTGCGTTGTGTTTTTGATCTGAAGCAAAAGTGTCTATTAAGGTGTAGGAGGGATCTTCTCGTGAGGGAGAGGAGGAGGGGCGGTGGGAGGGATGGGTGTCCAGCGCTAGCAACCTTCTGGCGTTTGTAGATAGGGGCTAAGTGCACTCCAGTCACTTCAGGATCCTCTCCCCCTCCCCCCTTACGGCTGTGCACTAGCTTAAAAGATGTTCTTGGGACTTAGAGCTTTTGCTTTCTTGTGCATTGCAGTCGATGTAAGACAGAAATCCATGGGAGACCGAGTTTGGTTCGGATTAGCGCAAGGTTCGAGTTAGCGCAGGTTCATGTCATTGGAATTCCACTTAACTTAAACCTCAACACATGTGAAGACTAAAGCATCCTTGATTATTTTCTCCTACAGATGCAGCAAGCCATGATATCAACTCAGAAAGTGTGCTTTGTTACAGATGTGCATTGCGGAATTTCAAGGAGCTAGCGCATGAGTTTCCTCGTGACATAACAGTGGATCAGCTACCAGGCAAGTATCCCAGGAGTCTGTCTTTATTTTTATCACTCTAATGATTACAAGCAGGTGGGATTGGGAGACTCAAAGTTCGGTTATCAGCATTAAAAAAACTGGAACAAAGTAACAGAGACAAAATACCCATCGGTTAAACATATTCATAGGTGAAAACATGATAAAAATGGACGCAGCCGTCTATAACACAGCATGAGATTTAGAGCGCTTTTCCATTGAGTGTCGTAAAACCAAAACCAAAGTTATCCAGACGACCGGTCAGAAGAAAGGAAAAAACCTCAAGAGCCAATCCCGGCGATAAAGACGAGGTTTTGGTTTTTGTTTTGCATATGATCGGTTGAGAGAATGGTGCGAGTTTTCTGGACCAATCACAAAGCGATCTCGGATTACTCTCCACTCTCAATGGTAAATTGCTTTAATACACCGTCGAAGTACAAGCATGATCCATTAGCTGTCCAGTTGGAGCTGAAAACCAATTACGTTCTTGAATTTTGATATCGGTTTGATTACAGATGAAAACATTATGTTAAAGTCAAAGGTAACCCTTTGTGCGCATGTCCTTTCTGATCACAGAGACAGTGCATAGACGTGCTGATTGTTATTGGGGTAAACATTGCCGAACTCAGAGGACTAGACCAATTCATGCAAGGTAAGATTCTTGTTGGCAATAGTCATGCTAAGTTATGCTCTCGTTTCAGTGTCTGGTTGGAGGAAAAGTGTTGATATTCAGCGTACTCTGTGTTCTTTTTGTTTTCAGTCGCTTCAATCACATTTGTGAACAGACAAGATTTACATAGCTGACATTATCTTTATCAGCAAGAAGTTTGCCCAACAGTTTGCTAGTAACTATTACAGTAAATAATGCATGGTGCATCATGGACCGCACTAATCAAAATACAAATATATCGCAGCATACTTTTTCAAACTGATATTGTCCTCGAAACACCTCATTTGCGTGTTATTTAATGTTTATTTGAATAAAAAAGAGATGAACAATTTTTACAAATTTGGTCAAAATTCACTAAGTAATTATCAAATATGACAATGTTACATACTTATTTACAAAAGCTTTGAAAATGATGTTACAAAAATTAAAATCTTTGTTCCTTAAGACATGGTTGCTCACAAAAGTTTTCAAAAGACGATGAAATATAACGAACTCAAAGTTACAGACAACGCCCGGCTTTGAAGGTATTAAGCAATTAGAGAGATTAAAGACTTGGTCGCCCGCATTGACGATGATCTGTGGAATGTTAAAAGAGAATCCGAGTCAATGTGACGATTTTAAGTCAAACGAAAGTACAGGTAGTACTACAGTTAACACAATGCTAAATTATTGACGGGTAAATTATTGGCATTTAATTTACTGAACAGCACTACACTTACTTCCGTATATTGTGTTACTGGCAAAACACCTTACGAGGTCTTGCGGCAATGGTTCAACTTAGGGAGCTTATAACATGCATTTTACAGTTTACTTATATTTTTCCACGGGAAGCAGTGCTCGCCATAATATGATGTAATGGGCGATGGTAAGGATATGGACACCTTAGACAGTTGAAAAAAAGATTGGGCGAGTACTTTGCAAAAGTACTAAAGCTGAAGGGTACACTGGCAATTCTAATTGTCTAACTGGTTTGTCACGTATATTTCATCACTTCGCGCAGATGTGCACTGTTAAATATGTGCAATTGTATTTTACAAGTTCTCTTCATACCCTTTAGCTGGCTCAGTGAAGGCTTTTGAATTTGATTCAACATTCTTCATGTCCTCAAGATCTTTTGCTTTGACTGGAAAGTTTTCAACTTCAAGACATCCAGCGTTTTCCAATAGAGTGTCAAACCATGATGGTTGAAGGTCAAAATAATCTTTGCCTAGATAAAAGATAAATGAAGTTTTGTTTCATGATGGCAAGGCAGAGAATTTCGTTTCCACATAAAGATACCTGAGATTTTTAGCTTGCTGAACCAAAAGTGGATTAATTTCAGCGAGACATTTTTTCTAAACCGCCGCAAAAACCGTAACCTTGAGCACTCGATAAGGGAGCAAGCTTACTCTTTTCAATTCAAGCTACCTCCTCCGAAAAAGGGTTGATCTGACTGGATAAGTCACGGGTCTTGAATGCAGCAGAAATCATAACAGTTTGAGCTTAAACAAAGTTGGAAGTAGGGATATGTGTTGGTTTTGTTACGACTTTGGTTTTCTTGGAAAAGAAGTTCACCTCAATACCAGAGGAATCTGTGTTATATTTGTGCGATGTAACACCTCATTAAGTTGCTCATTTCATTAGAGTCAGGCGAGTACATTGCAAAAGTAAAGCTGAAGGGTACATCGACAATTCTAATTGGCTTAATTGGTTCGTCACTCTCAGAATACACTACTTCGCACAGATTTGGATCATCACTTATGAGAATCGTATTTTACAATTTTCCCTCTACAAACCTTTCTTTGTGGCTTCAAGATCTTTTGCTTTAACTGGAACATTTTCAACTTCAAGACATCCAGCGTTTTTTGATAGAGTGTCAAACCACGATGGTTGATGGTCAAAATAATCTTTGCCTAGATAAAAAAAAAATTAAAAAATCAAAGCCGATGTACGGAAGAACATGTTATCAATCGTAGGTATCTAGCTGTTTGTGACTTATAAGACTACACTGCTTTCGTGCAGATGTGGACTGTGGAGGAATCGTATTTTTCCTTCTTCGTACCTTTAGCTTGCTCAGTGACGGCCCTCGAATTTGATTTAACATTCCTTAAGGCTTCAAGATCTTTTGCTGTAACTGGAAAGTTTTCAACTTTGAAACATCCACGGTTGTTGGGTGGAGTGTCAAACCATGATGGTTCAAAGTCAAAGTAAACTTTGCCTGGTTGAGAAAAAAAACGAAAAAAAAGAAGAAGAAGAAGAAATGAAAATCAAAGTGCATGGAAGAACTCTTAATATAATCAAAAGATTATTGAAAAGTTGCTAGAGTAAAATTGTTCTTCTTGTCTTGAGGATGGAAAATGGTATTTACAAGTTGTGCCTTTAGAGAAATGGGAAACACTTTTAAGTCAGGCCCGTAAATGCTGATTTCGTTGATTTTGAGTATGTTTCATTTTACTTAGCTTGTGAAATAACCAATTTATTTTCAGTGATAGGTGATGTAGACCCCTCTTTCCTCTCTAATTACGTGCCCTAACGCTTTCCTGGAACATAAAATGAGTTCACAAAGACGAGGCCTTCGTATCAACCGCGTTGTCACCACTCAGTTGATACGACGCCATCCCGCTTTGCATACTCACCATTAACCGTTTGTGGTTTGCTCCGGGACTCTTCTGCTTCTGTTTTATTCTTCTTGACAGTAAAATTAAGGCCCCCTTCGAGCTCGGCAATGTTCTTATTTGCCTCCTGTAGCTTTTCGTCTATTGATGCCATGTGCTTGACAAAATCAGATTGAGTTGTTTGCACAGTTTGTTTTAGCTGAGACAGTTTTTCTTTAAGATCGGCAATGTCTTTGTCATTTTCAAAGAGAGTTTGCCTAAGAAAGCCAATCTCCTTCTCTTTAGCTGTTAAAACACAAATTAATGTTACAATTACTTATTATAAACGTTTGAACAAATTCAAGGTCTGAGTGATAAAGTTAACCGGGAAAACACAAAAGACGGAACTATGACGGAACGAGAAGCAGGAGGGAGGAGGGAGGGGGTAAACGACTTATTGTCAGTTGAGCATCGGCAACTCTTAGTAAAATGGCTTCCTAGTCCGCGCGCACTTTTCTTTTCATGCATGCGTGACCACATAAAACTAACCGTTAATCTCTGTTTCAAGGTAGATGATCTTCTGTGTTGGTTGTTCCTTTTCTCTTGCAGACTGGAAAAAAAAATTGCCAAAAATGGTATCTTTTTAATTAACGAAATAAGAAGAGAGCGAAAAAGCTGGGGTAAGAAACATTATCAACTTGCAATCCCGCGTGAAGATAGTGGAATGTCGAAGAGTGGCGTCATAATCTTGGAATTTCATTTGCGCGCGCTTTTTCATCTCTCCACGAAGAAAAAGTTTTTTTAAACTCAGTTACCTGAACGCCTTTAATGCAGAAAAATTCCAGTTGCGTTAAGTGTTTCGTCAATGTTGGACAGACTTTCAAATGAGCTACTTTTAGAGGGAACCGTTTTACAATTGAAATTAACCAATTACGACCTATTTTCACAGCTTCTGTATTGAATCAGGTCTAGTTGCGCGTTTGTTGTGAAAATCACTTGAGCTTCTTTTTTTCATGCCCCTTCGGATAACAAATGTAACTTCTAAAACAACTAAACGTACTTTTTTAACGAAAAAAAGGAAGTGTAATGATAGGAAACGCCCACCTCATTAGCCATGATTCGTGCCCCGTGTAAGGCCTCTAAAGGCTCATGATAATTCTCAGCAGAACGATTTGAGACATTGACTTTTTCATCAAATATTCTCGCAGAACAGGATTTCCTGACCGAGTCTTTGTCACCTGACTTGTTTTTGTTCATTTTGTAACTGATATCTTCAATCAAACCGTTCGATAAACAAGAAAAATGCATTCTCTTTTACGGTGCTTTAGCATGAACCGAGCTCTTGATGCGAAACAAAGTTTCGATTTGTTTATGACTAGTTGCATGGTAACGTGTTTATGCCGTCACTTTATGACATCACGCCGGATTTAAAGCATTAGGTCTGGGCACTAGAATTCTTGACGCGATAACACCAGAGCTGGACATTAAAATGCTTTTATAACGTTAATGAATAACACGTTAATAAATATATCAGCAGACAACGACATACATATAACTTTTCTCAGCAGAAGTGAAATAATATTATTGCGCGGGTTTCCTAAGTCCAGAGCAAAATGTGCGAGCATTTTGTACATTGTTTAAAGAATGGCTACTCCGTGTTCAGAGTGCAAGCGATTACTAATGCAAAGACTCCGAAAACAAAGTAACTCCTTAGAACTTGAAGGGTGATGGCTTATCCGGCTAGCAATTTAAATTTTCCATTTTACCGCTAACGGCTATTTTCTTTGCATTGTTTTAAAGTGAAATTTTTACGGTTAACTTTTTGTAACGACTAACGGCTAAAATTAATCGATTTCATACGCCTGACAGCTTTTTTTTCTGCCGTTTTACTTCGATTAAGTGCCTTCCTTCCAATAATCTCCCCTTGTTTTTTAAGCCGAAATTTGAAAAAGCATCCGGGCACCTATTCGAGGAAACGTGATAACTAATTTAGTTTGACCAGAAACTCAGAAATGGCCCTCTGCTTAAAACGAAAAGAATGCCAGTATTTCTAGAAAAGTAAAAATTTGTAAGCGAAAACGATGAACGAGTTCCATCCTATGTTAGGGCCTGTCTACATAGAGGTGAGGGACCCCAGATAGGTGATGTAACCCGCCTAGCAGAATCTATTTTACTGAAAGCAGAAAAGGGATGAGGGTTTAGTCTTTCTCTTCGACATAGGTGAAGTTTTGTGAAAGTACACTGAACATATCTTCGGACCGAGTAAGCCTCCTGTACAGCTACACGGGAATTGCTACGTTCTTCCGCAACCACTTCTTTTGTAAGGTCAGCGGGTTTAAATTCAAGTTTTTTAGGTATCTTTGAACTCTACTAACTAGGAACGAGATATTTTGTATTTGCTTCCTTCTGTTACCCTTGGTTGGATCCTACAACTCTATGGTGGCGTTTTCAGTCGTGTTTGTGCTCATGGACGTTCACCTTAAGGGCTTAATGCGTCTTGTTGTACTGGAATGTGTAGGTTTTAAAAGAACAGAGGAAGATTGCGGCTTTCTTGCCATTAGCGTCAGACTTGCATCGTATATTAGACCAGTCATTATAGGTAAATAGTACTTTGTGCATAAGAGTAGTTTTTAGTCGACTGCTAGCCTTTGTTATTCGGAACGCTGCAAGACACACGCTTCTCCGCCTGCTGGAATATTTGAGACGAGTCGGGAAGAAGTTTGTTTTGCCTGGACTCAAGCACTAATAGTTAGGGTTAAATCATGCCTTGTTTATCTCATGCAAAGTACAGGGAAAAAAGTACGAAAAAACCATGCAGAACGGAAAATACTTTGTTTCTCAGGCTTTGTATTCAAACAATTACAACAACAACAAGAATAACAATTTATTCAAATAGTTGTTTTTTGATTGGGTTAGATGTCATTTCAGAACATAATACTCCTTTTATTTCTCTGCTTTGGTGCTCTCTGTAGCTCGAGAAAGGCCCCGTGGCCCAATGGATAAGGCATCTGACTACGAATCAGGGGATTCCAGGTTCGAATCCTGGCGGGGTCGCTGTTATTTTAGGTAAATTAACTTTTTATCCCCTGGATTTCTTTTACATTTTAATCACCTTTCACGAAGTTAGAAAACCAGATACTACGTGTGGGGCGTAGTTATGTTTGCTAGAGTAGCATTGCTGCGTTTGCTATCAAAAAGCATGGAATGGTTATTCAATATTCTCCGGCTTCTATAAAATGTCATCCTTTAGTAAAATGTAGCCACCCCCGGTCCAGTTATGATGCTTGTCACGTTTGCTTGTTTTCCCAACTTATTATTGAAAGTCAGCTTAATGTAAACTCAACAACTGAAGGCTAAGGCATTCGTTCTTATTTTCTTCTATAGATGCAGCATGCCATGATATCAACTCGGAATGTGTGCTCTGTTACAGATGTGCATTGCCGAATTTCAAGGAGCTAGCGTATCAGTTTTGTCGTGAAGGCAAGGCAAGTATTCCAAGAGTCTGATTTTTTCATAACTGTAATGATTACATGCTGGCAGGATTGGGAGACTCAGAGTTCGGTTACGAACTTAACAAAACTAGGACAAAACTAAAGTCAAGATACCCATCGGCTAAACGTATTCATAAGTGAAAACATGATGAAAATTAACGGAGCAGTCTGTCACATAGCATGCGATCTAAAGCGCTTTTCGATTGAGTGTCGTGAAACCAAGACCAAAGTAGCCCAGACGGCCAATCAGAAGAAAGGAGAAAACCTTTATAGCCCATGAGAACATAAAATAATAGCAATCAAACGGCCTGAAGCGTGGGAAAGCGCGGACGACCATTTCGTGATTGATTTTAGTTTTGCATCTGATTGGTTGAAAGAATGGTGCGAGTTTTCAGGACCAATCACAAAGCGATGTCAGTTACTTTCGACACTCAACTTAAAAGGTAAATTGTTTTCATACACCATCGAAATACAAACATGATCCGTCAGCTTTCCAGTTGGTGCTGAAAACTAATTACGCTCTAGAAGTTGATATCGGTTTGATGACAGATGAGAACATTTTGTCAAACCCAAAGGTAACTCTTTGTGCGCATGTCCTTTCTTATCAGAGAGACATTGCAGAGACGTGCTGCTTGATGTTGGGGTAAAAATTGCCGAACTGAGAGGACCAAGCCACTTCATGCAAGGTAAGGCTCTTGTTGGCAATAGTCATGCTAAGTTATGCTCCCATTTCAATGTTTGTTTCAGTGTTTGAGGAAAAAGTGTCGACATTCAGCGTACTCTGTGTTCTTTTGTGAACAGACAAAATTTACATAGCTGAGATTATCTTCATCAGTACGAAGTTTGCCTAACAGTTTGCCAGTACCCTTTACAGTGAATAATGCATGGTGCATCATGGACCACGCTAATCGGAATGCATATCCCAGCATACTTTTTCAAACTGATATTGTCTTCGAAAGTATGTACTTCATTTGCATCTCATGTTTATTTGAATAAAAAAGAGATGAACAACTTTGACAAATTTGGTCAAAAGTCACCAAATAATTATTAAATATGATAATGCTACATACATATTTACAAAAACTTTATATAATGATATTTTGAAAATTGAAATGTTTGTTCCTTTAGACATGGATGTTTAATTTATTTGCTCACAAAAGTTTTCAAAAGGCGATGAAATATAACGAACTCAAAGTAACGAACAACGCCCGGCTTTGAAGTTATTGAGCAATTAGAAAGATAAAAGACTGGGTCGCCCGCATTGAAGATGATCTGTTGGATGAAAAAGAGAATCCGAGTTAATGTCACGATTTTAAGTCAAAGGAAAGTACAAGTAGTACTACAGTTAACACAAAGCTACATATCAAACTCTTTCCCCAGTGCGACGAACATTTGTTTTTCTCGGTTCCAGGTGTACGCAACCACTAACTCCACGTAATGTAGGAAATATGGATATCCTACATTAGGATATCTCAGACAAATCTCAGACACTTGAAGGAGTTACACTTGAGCAAAAAAAAACCCTAATTTGATATGCATTTGGACCTTACAAGGAAGTCTCTTTGATTATCTATTTATATTTTCGAATTTGTCAGATGTTCTGAAAAAAAGTGAGAGGTCGGGGAAACATGTGCAGCATCTCGAGGTATTTTTATTTTTCAATTTAGTTCATTGTGCCATACATGTTATTGTAACGCTCCAGCCATTTTTAAATACTCCGTTCCCAAGCAGCAAACCACCACCGCCGCCATTTTGTCCGTCATTTCTGGCAATGAATCCAAGTAATGAGGAGGAGTCAAAAATACCTTCTGACAATACAAATGCGCAATCAACGGCAAGTTGTTAGCAAGGAAAAGAAAAAGATTTAAAAAACAAAAACAAAGGAACAATGAAGATGGGACACAGTCCGTTGCAAAGGTCTCTGATAATTCCATTACTGTTGCCGCCAAAAATTCGATTGATTACAAATTCGTACTCTTCTTTTGTCACAGTTCATTCATGCCTTTTGTTCTGTGCGCATAACTTTCATCAATATTCTGTTACTCTTTCCTGCATAATTGCCTTTTGTTTATGTCCCTTGTATTAGTCTTTACCGCGAATTTTATTCATTCGGATCAACCGT